GACTACATGAACCTCCGTCAACTTGTTAGTGATCCGACTCATTACACTTCGTATATATGTCACTGTTAATAATATAATTGGTTCCAATGGACATGCAATGGTTAATGTTACACTGTCATTAAAAAAGGTTATAATCCCAACTAGAACTTTTAGTTTCAGGCCCATTAATAAAATAAATTTAAATGAATTTAATAATGATTTATATGCAATCAATTGGGACGATGTAACTGAGTTACCTTCAGTAGATATGATGGTGGAAAAGTTTAATTCAATGATTCTCTCTCTCTTTGATAAACATGCAGCAGTGAAAACAGTAACTCTAAAAAACAATTATTCACTGCCGTGGGTAACCGATGTCTGCAAAATGATGATCGATGAGCGTAATATGGCTCACGATGTCTATCGAAAATCCGGAACAGACGTACATAAAAAATATTACAAGGAGCTTAAAAGTCTAGTTTTAAAAAGTATTTCAGAAGAAAACCGGGCCTACTTCAATAGCTTAGTTAATTCTCAAGCTAAAATAGCAAAACGTTTTGGAAAAATTTGAAGGAAAAAATTTTGGTTGACCCCTCGAAAGACAAATCCTTGCCTTCCCATTTCAATGACCCAAACAAAATTAATTATCACTTTTTGAATATTCCGGGAGACAACGTATTATTTATATATTATAGTTTCCAATGCAGACATGTTATTTTTTGAACATAATAAATTCAATACAGAGGTATTTAAATTAGCTCCCGTAGGTGCAACAGATATTTCTAAATATATAATGTCCATAAAATCGAATGCTGTTGGACACGATGGAATTAACAGAGATATGATCTTACTCTCTCTTCCTTGCACTCTGGATGCAATCACGGCTATAATTAATAAATCAATTATGACTGGTATAGTTCCTAATAAGTGGAAGGAGGCACTAGTGACCCCAATACCCAAAAATGAAAACCCAGTCGAGTTAAAAGATCTCAGGCCCATCAGCATTTTGCCATTCCTTGCTAAACTGCTGGAGAAAGCTATTTGCGAACAGTTAACTAAATTTGTTGAAGCGACTAACATCTTGCCTCATTTACAATCAGGGTTTCGCAAAGGATGTGGCACAGCGACTGCTTTAGTCGATGTCACAGACAACATATTAGCTGAACAAGACTCCGGTCACAGTACGATTCTAACGCTATTAGACTATTCCCGCGCTTTCGACTGCCTAAATATTCCCCTGCTGCTTGCTAAGCTGTCATATTATGGTTTAGACAAAAATTCGGTCAAGTGGTTCAGTAGTTACTTGATTAATTGGTGCCAGTCAGTAAAATTGGTAAAGAGTGATGGGTCTAATATACGTTCTCACCCTAGGCTTATTAATCGTGGTGTTCCTCAGGGTTCAATACTTGGTCCACTTCTTTTTATAATGTACTGTGCTGACCTTGTTAAAGTTATAAAATATTCTATGTACCACTGTTACGCTAACGATGTGCAACTATACGTGTCAGCCTCACCAGATAAGTTACCACAAGCTGTGACACGGATTAATGATGATCTGGACAGGATTGCTGACTGGTCAATGCGGAATGCTCTTGTTTTAAACCCCTCAAAGTCAAAATATATAGTCATGGGCACAAAGGCGCAAATAAGTAGAATTTGTGGTGAGCTAGACGTTAAGATTAATGGTACACATATATTGCGCGTGGATGAAGCCAAAAACCTTGGTATAACCTTCGACAGTAATCTCAAATTTGAAAATCATGTCCTTAATATGGTAAAAAACTGTTTTATCGTCTAAAGGTATTATACCATGTCCGTGACCAACTATCTGTACCGTCACGCATTACTCTTTGCGAGTCATTAATTTTATCTCGGCTTAACTACGGAGATGTTGTTTATGGACCACGAATTTTCAGCAAAACAAAGCGACTAATACAGCGCGTGCAAAATGCATGTTGTCGGTTCTGTTTTGATGTCCCCCCAGAAGTCACATTACTCCTTTCTTGAACATTGCTTCCATGCTCAACATGGACTCACGTAGAGAGCTACATTTAGGAGGGCTTGTTTTTAATGTCATTAAGTTTAAAAAACCAGAGTACCTGCATGTAAAGATAAAATTTGCTAAGCAAAATTCCGGTAAACAATTGAGGTCCATAAGATCAGCACTCCTGTATCACAGCCATAAAACAGCGGCATTTACTGGTAGTTTCCGATATATGGCAACGAAGTGTTGGAATAACATCCCACCACCAATAAGAAATCTTAACACCAATTACAATTTCAAAAATAAATTCAAAACATATCTTCTAGATAAACAAAAACAAGGTATTCCCAAACAATTTGTTTGCCAGCTATAAACCACGGCATTTTTTGTTCCTACTAACTCATCATGGCTGTCTAAACCTTTTATGTACTACTTTTAATTTGTACGCAAACTTACACACTTACACGCCCCTTCAGTAATTTTACTAAATTAAACCCAGGATGCAAATCGTAGGGCTGAAAGGACACATCTTTCAAATATACATATTTACACTAATTAACTATTGTGCTCATTTTCTTCTCGTCATCTCGAGGGTAATAGCTGAAAATCAGTGTTTGCTCTCTGAGCAATATTAATCGCTGAGCTAGGACCCATTTGTCAAACTGCAACACACATGTACATTTAGATTTTAAGTTTTTGTAATTTTTTTTTTCGTAATATGTTACTTTGTACTTAGTTTAGTTACTGAATTTACGTGTGTGATTGGGGAAACAAATAAATGCTTTATCTATCTATCTATCTATATAGTTCACAAGGATAATATATAGTAGAGGGCCCAACAGAGAACCTTGAGGTACGCCTGAAGGAACCGGTAGCCAAGTGGACATAAACCCATTAAGCACTACTGCTTGTAACCTATTTTCAGTATAAGAGGAGAACCATCGCAGAAGGTCTCTATGTATACCCAACATTGCCAATTTTTTAAAAGGATTTGATGATCTATTCGATCGAAACATTTACTGTAGTCAGTATAAATGCACTCAACTTGGAGTCCAATGTCCATACCTTTTGAAATGTAATTATTTGTAAGAATCATATCAGTTACAGTTGATCTTTTTATAAGAAATCCATGTTGGGCATCGCTAAGTATAGGGGAAATAGATTTGTACACTTGTTGATATACTATCTTTTCAAATACTTAAGCAAATAAACACAATTTTGATATAGGCCGGTGATTTTCTATTTTTGTAGTGTTCTCTTTTTTATGAACATGTGTGATATATGCCTGCTTCAAAATTTTGGGAACAACACCTTCAGCTATCGATAGCTTAAAGAGAATGAACAGAGGTTCCGAAAGCTCTTTGGAACAATTAACTATAAAAATAGGTGGTATAAGATCCGGCCCATCCGATTTGTTGAGATCCAATGACATTGATTTCAGTTTTATTAATACACATGGTATTCAAATTAACTAAGTTTGGAATGTTTAACTTATTAATATATAATATGCGCAAGCACAGGTGCACTCTTCGTACGTGGTAGAGCCACGCTGCAGCTATATTATGTTTGTAGCACGAATGAGTCGACTCGACCGGGGTAGGACCACGCTCTCACGCAATGCCAGAGTAAAACAGCAGCTTAATGCTGCTGTGTTTCGTATAGTGATTGTAGAGAACCAGAGACATATTTTACTAGAAACGAGGCATTCCGTCTCAGTCTTTATTGGTGGAAACATATCGGAGTTTTTATTCTTAATCAAGGATAGAGCGAATGAGTGAAGACCGAATGGTGAAGAAAATATATAGCGCGAAAGTTAATATTAAAGGGTGTCGAGGTAGACCGAGACTAACTTTCGAAGACCATGTCAGCAAATTGCTCGAAGAGGGTAGGGTCAAGAGTACTCGGATACCTAGACGTGCATGTATGAAGAAGATAATGAATCTGAAAGAAGCGAAAGAGGTATGTAAGGATCGTGACACTTGGCGATCTGTTCTCTCTGGCTACCCCGTCAGGGATTGTGCGTGAAGATAAGTAAGTAAGTAAGGATAGATGTAGATGTCTATGGGCCGCAGCAACCACATACCAGCAGGTGGAATGTGTGTCGTTTGTCACACTTATTCTATAGAAGAATCTCTAACTATTTCCTCACTCTCATAGTCCGATGGAACGGTAATTCGACATAGCGGGAGAGAGATCGGGTACAGCGTAAACAGCTTTACGTGCTTTCCGAGGTATGAGAGTGAAACACTTCTTAAACCAAAAATCAAAACTTCCTGACTCTGGTCTGCAACTGCGAATGTCTTGACAGAAAATCCCAATACCTTTTTTGAACTGACCCAGGATTCGAAACCGGGACATCATGATCAGCAATCGGGTTTACGACCGCTAGATAATTGACGCAGTAAAAAAAATAATTGGTTAAAAAAAAGCAACAGTTCGCTAATTATCAATAAATGTAATTTCAGTATGTACATTTTTAAATAATGGAATAAATACTTAAATTACTTTCTTCGTTACTTAAACCTATACATATACAGTGTACACATAGAGTGTATGTCACGTGGAAATTATTTCATTCTGCTTAGTTTGAGATATCGGTATTTTTCTTTCTTTTCATGTGTAAATCTAGTGGTAACTAGTGAATGTTGAATTTGTTACGTATTCAGTAACTATAAATGGATTTTTTAATTCCAAGTAAACGAGGTAATACTTTAATCTCATTTGAAGAAATCGACATAAAAACAGTACATAAGAAATTTAATTAAAACTGTGTAGGCAATTAAAAAATCAATTGTTTTTCAACGCGGTTGGCCAAGTATTTATGTTTCAAAAGAACCGCTTATAGATAGACTGTACTAGAATTTCATATGTTTTTCTTTTTTTTTTGCCGCCTTCCAAAAAGGTGACGGTACTCAATTCGACTGTATGTTTTTTTATGTGTGTTAACTATGAAAAACTAAGCATTTATGCGTCTGTCAGTAAACGTGTCGAGCTTTCTATCCAAATATTTATTTTCTCAATTATAATATTTAAATTACTACGAATTTTTGACGGAATATGAGCCATCAGCGTCATAAACGCCGTGCTTTTTGAATCTATTGTAACTATCACTAACACCATAACTGGGCTTAGTGTATTCGTAACTGCTGTATGGTTGGTGATCGTAATACCCGTGGTGATCATGATGATCGTAATGATCAAATTCTACGTAATGCTCGTGCGATTTCTTCTCCTTCAAGTAATGGATGAACCAAATCACAAAGTGCCACGCTTTAGTCAGTATCACGTAGAAAATAACGCCGTACACGATTTTCAGAACGAACAGTTTTGTTGCGACAACGTAGAAGAAATGCACTGCAAAAAAATGGAAAGAACAAAATTAAAAAATAATTGAAATAAATGCATAAATTAATAAAATAAACATTTGTTTCGAGGTTTCATTAAATAATTTGTTTATTTATTTTTATATTGCGATAGCGGCGGAGTTAACTAAAACAGTACAAAAAAAATTGATCAAGTAGGTGCAATTAATTTTAGCGTTTTTGCTTTTTTAATTGAAAGCTGGTGCTTCTCATGTGGTCTCCTATAAATTTGGACAAGTTTTGACTAGTCGTTTTTCAGCTATTCTTAATAATTTATATTGTTGTACAAATTTTTAATTCTTAATTATTCTTCTTAAATTACTATTAAGATTGTATAGTGATTGTTGAGGGTAACTTTAACTACTTTACTTGAAAAAATATTTAAAATGTACGCATCATTCCTTGCAAGTATGGAATAAGTAACAGTTATAGGTACAGAAGCTATTACAATCACCAGAGGTAACAACGCAACTACAATCTGCGTATTGATTCTTAATATAAGTAAGATAGATGTAGATGCTTATAGACAACAACAGAGGATGCTGTACCATCAAGTAGACTGAGAGCTTGTTTGTTACATACCCTTACTTATATAAAAATGAGTAATAAAAATGTATTACCCTTAATGATGTGTGTAACTGTTTAGTAAAATATCCAAGAAAGAGCTACTGGGCGGGCGATAGTGTTTGTCATATCCATCATTGTAAGGGTTGATCACGACATCGTTTTTGTAATATAGCCAGGCGTCGGGGACGTATTTGAACGCGGCCAGCACCCACGCCATCACTACCATTGCCTTTATGCTGACTATTACAAGAGCTATGCCTAAGATTATCTTGTACAATCCCACTTTCGCAGCAAACATTATACCTAGGTGGGCTGTAACAAAGAAATTGATTTTAACTATTGCATCTCGATGAATGGCGAATGGCTTCCCCATAGATTGCTTAAGTCAGCCAGGCAGTCAGGTTGGTAACCGCAGTTTTCTATTTACTAGTTGTTATTCGGAAGACGCTGCTGCCCACCTCCAGGTTTAATTCCCTCTGTCGCCTCCTACCTCATATCACGGGATGATATGTTGTATTAGATATTTATACACTGCCACTACAAAGTGATATAATATCCAACAAATCTCACGAAAGCACATGGCAACAAATTTTACGATACCATCCACACTATCTGGATCTTGGCGGTCCACCATTGTGCGTTTTACTAAGACATTTTTCGGATTCATTTTTTTTCACGTACGACCTCTTCGTGGAACTGATTACCACCAGCGATTTCTCCGGACCGATACGACTTAGGGATCTTCAAGGAAAGAGCTTACCCATTTCTGAAAGGTCGGCAATGCTTCTGCAATTCCCCTGATGGTGGGTGCAGTTGTTCATGGGCAGCGGTAGTCACTTACCATCAGGTGAGCCGCTTGCCCCCTCTTCTATAAAAAAATTCGTCTTTACATTGGGAGAGGCCCACGTCTAGCAGTGGACTCTTAAGCCGAATAAGAAGAATAAAGAAAAGTATTGTATTACATTATGGAGTATGGCTACGAAGTATGCAGTACGAAAGGATCGATTCGGCCGGGGAAAGACCACACTCGCACATAGACGGAGCCATACGTGCATTTCAAGGGACGTCGAAATCAAGCCAAAACGATTCTCAACATATTCTAACAACACGTACTCACGCACACATACACATCTTATATCCTTTGCTACTAACAATATGGCTTTAGGTGCATTTGTGTGCGCCCAACAATAGACTTTTATGAGCTGTTAAAAAAGAAAGAAGAAAGATGTGTGCCAAACGTGGCAGCTAAAGAAAATATCCCCTTTAATGAGGCATAGGTTCATGTTCATCTGTGCTGTGCGATAATTTATAAATGAACCTTAATTAGTAACCCTTCTTAGAAATATTTGGTAATAACAAAAACCTGCAAATGTTTAATCAATATATCGATGGTCTTAGCTTTGCGGTTACCAACCCGCTTTATTTCATATCAAATTGAAGGCAAAGATTTGAACCCTCGATATACGACCCTAGTCACTGAGCTTTACAATATGTCATAGTATAGTAAAGTGAAAATATTCATTAAAATATTGTTTTTTTTTTTACAATTTAAACCAGTGCTTGAGTACTATCCCACCTGGTAGTAAGTGGTGATGCAGCAAAAGATGGTAAAGCGCACTGACTTAGCTTAACAAAATCCTATTCACTCTTACCTTGAAGAGACCTACGTTATAATCGGATGGAAAATGATTTTGTCCGTTCATCATTATAATCATTACATAGGAATCCCCTAAGGAAGGCCACAAAGCATCTGCACCCATCGAATTACAACATTTCTTAACAGGTCGTCAACATTCTAATGGGGGGGGGGGGACTACACTTTGCTAACCGATATGAGGCTGCCACTCGATAACCTTTTCTTCCCGGATTCTTTGATTATATAATCAGCCCGGTCCATTACAACTTTCGCATACTGATCCGTTGTTTTGTTTGTTAGTAAGTAATTTATCAACTAATCATCATCATCATCATCATCATAATTACAACCACACATCACATTACAACATCACAAATCCACTCCTGAACAAAGGCCTCCTCCAAGTTGTGCCATAAATCACGGTCCAGAGCCACCTACACCCATCGACTTTAACTGCATCCTTCAACTATTTTACAGTAGATATAATGAAAGCTTTTATACGTGGCAGAACCATGCTGCGGCTGTATTGTGGATGTAGCACGAATGGGTCGGCTTGACCGGGTTGGGAACACTCTCACACAGAATACCAGCGCGAAATAGCGGCTCAATGCTGCTGTGTTTCGTATGGTGAGTGTAGAGAACCGGAGACTCTTTTTACTGGACACGTGGTATTCCATCTTAGTTCTCAGATCTGAAAGAGAATCTGCACTTTGATATTTAACTGAAGATGAATGTAGATACCAATGGGCCACATCACCCACTTACCATTAAGTGGCTGTGTGCTCGTTTGTCACTTCTATTTAATAAAAATAAAGCATAAGGCACGCAGTATACACATATTTGAGGTTTTATTCATGACACATATTACATTTCCTAACATTACAGCCGTTCGATTACTCCATACTATCATATTCCAGTAAAAGCCGACGTACAATGCCTACCAACGGAAACACGAACATAAACCGCATCGTGTATCCGGTACGAGCCATTAAAGTCCCTATTTCTGCTACGTTTGGCGTGAAATCGCTTGTAAGAGGGTCGTTCTCCGCCCTGTACTATACCAAAGCAGGTAGTAGTATTGAATTGGAAGTAAGTACCGGCATTTAAGGTAACGATTGAAAAACAACATTCTTCGAATTCTCTTTTTGGATACTTGAAATCAACATTAGCTTAGTAAATTCAATTGTGTAGTCACTACCGAATACAGTTATGGAATGTATCGTTACCAGTAAATGAGATTTCTTGTTCACTATAATATGCGAAATGCAGTAATAATCTGATAATATTTAATGCTAATATTCTATTCTGTGTCCCTATAAATCCATGTTCAATTTTTTTCGTTGGGGACGTAAAAATATCCAGTACATAATGATTTCTCATATTTTACGCGAACACTACACATTGAATAAAACTACTTTTATGGATTTTATAGTGTTTAATAAACTGGGACTGAGGTGATTGATCAATCACCTCAGTCCCCCGTGACCATGAAACCACGAAACGTCGGGTATTAATAAAAATAAGAAAAATAAGTTTATTAAACGCGATAAAATCCGTAAAAGTACTTTTATTCAATATCCATTACCCCAAATCATAGTCTAACTAAAGACAGACATACTGTAGGTGTCGTAATAGTGGGGAATGTTAATTTGAAACAAGCGAATATGTCCTTGCCATCTGCTACTTTGTCAAACGTGACAATTATAGCCAATTCCTCCCAAAAGGCAATTTTCAAAGGGAGAAGAGGCCTAGTTAAGCAGGCGTATATGTCCAATCATAGACTTAGTACGCCAATATATTCTAAGTCTATTGTGTTCCATATACACCTTTTGCACTGAATTGTCTCCTGCTCAGTTGACAGGTTCAACTAGTATTTGTGTTAGTGTTTGTGTTAGATGGTTGAACAGGACATTTTATTATTAATATTATGTAAAATATGTATTTTATAATAAAAAATGAAATTCAGTGATGATAAATATGTAGGTTTTTCCTCAATGAGGTTAGTTTGTTTTTCTATAATGCGCGAAAAACATTGAACATGAAAATAAATATTAAAACCGCAGTAGCTCATAGAGCGCTCACAGTAACATGCAAACAAAAATCATGTAGTAGAGTGGTAAACTTAAACTTTATATGGCTTAAAGTAAAAGATTGTGTTATCGATATCAAAGTCTCCAAATATTATATTTCTTGGTAACCATTCATTTTTTTTAATTCCCAACATAGAATATATAATATTTAAAATTAACTTGAAGTTTTGGCGGCACTTGACCGCCGGCGGATTGCTGCTCTGGTTTCATTGTATTAATAATGATTCAAAGTGGAATTTGACACGAGAAATAACACTATTTTGTATTAAATGTAATCTATTAGTGAAAATCATGAAACAAGTGGAGCACACTCGTGATGTGAACCTCAAGATAATGTGTTTGTTTGGGCGCCTTAAGATACAGTCGCCATCAACTGTCTGCTGGCTCTAGCTGCCGTCAAAATCGCCAAGAAACTTCGCAATGTGGGCGTCAACGTATTGTAAAGAAGTGTTTAAATAAATTATTATAAAAGATATTTTTTATTACTGTCTTTAGTATTGATATTTTTTAATATCGACACTGGCAAAAGTACTACAGTAGGAGTTCAGTAAAAGAAAAAAAATAAACTTACTCAGTAACGCGTATTTTGCTTTATCTCTGCCTTCCTCAATATCCCTTGATTCAGTTTTATCGCTCTTCACCAAATTTGCAAATATTATCAATAGAAATAAGACAAAACGTTTCATTGTTCAGTATTGCCGTGCATTCACTTATAAATATTTGGAAGACGCTAGTATATTATATGTTAGATTGATTATTTGCTGCTTCCATAAATTTAAAAAATATTCAAGTAACACAGTTACTGCCAAAAGGTCCCCAGTTTTATTGCTATTTACAATAACAAGTGCACTGGACCACGGAAGAAAGTATAATGCTGTATCATTTACATATAAGAGCCTTAGTCCTTAAGTGATAATGAAGCGATAAATAGTAAAGACAACGTGAAAGTGTTACGTAGAGTATGTATATTGTTACGTAAGCATACATTTTCGCGTTATGTAAATAGAGAGGATACGGATTTCACGAGAGCTCCATACTAGAAAAAAAAAAGAAACGTATTTGTTTATACTTGGGTATTATTGTGTATACGATACGTAGTGAGTATAGATACTCAATAGAACAGGAAACGAAAGAATAAAATAAAATAATGTTTATTCAATAGATTGCTAGATCCGCCCCAGCTTCGCACAGGTGACTTCTGGATTCCGATAACAACGTCACCTACTGAGCCCACTCGTAAATCTAAGCCATCCAAGGAACTACTAACAAAAACAATTGCATCGAAATCGCTTCAGCCGTTATGGAGGAGTTCAGTGACAAAACCACATAAAAAATTATATATAAGTGCACTGGTGCAATTTATAATTAATAAAACCAAATATTTTCTTGTAATCGCTGACATTTTATTCAGCATGGCTGACCCATTCTCCTACATCAGATGTGGGATCGGATCCACCCCCACTCCATAAAGTATTGGCTACAGTACTTGCAAAAAAAAGTAAGCAATTAAAATGGTTTTTACTATCATTGCAGGGCTTTTACCGATCCAATGATATCATTATTACGTGGAGCCATATGGCTCCACGTGATAATGATTTTAAACTTGCATAAATGGTACTTGAAAAAAGAAAATAAAAAAGGTTTTGAAGGGCATATTGCCGGACCAAAACTGATTAGCGTTGCATCTATATATCTACATACGTATGTAACGGAATTATTTAATGTAATATTAACCAACTTGTAGACGGCCAATTGACTTGAAAATTTGCACTCGTATCAAGCACCGATGACAATATAATAATTTAGTACCTTGATCAGGATCACCAGGATAAAATAAAATAGTTATCAGGATCTCGATGTTCATGACCAATATCAAAATATATTGTACAATTAAATAGGAAAACATGTCGAAAAATCATGTAAGTGAATCACCTCATTCCCATTCATTACGTTTTTGGTGGTATTGCCTAGGATCTGAATAATAATATAATGGGTATCGTAAGAAGTGGCAGAGGGAAATGAAATAGGAGATGGGCAGCAGGATCATTCGGATAACAACTGAATATAATAAAAAAAACATGTGTACAGTACACACGCGGTGGAAGTGAAACCTTCAGAAAACTAAACTTCGAGAAAATGAGACGAATGCGGGGTATCAGGAGTAAGATATTTTTTTTATAGGATAAGGGTGACAAGGGAGCACACAGTCCACCTGATGGTAAGTAGATGCCGTGGTCCATCTGTATAGACATCTATATTTATCTTCAATTAAGAATCAAAATGCATATGCAATGATCCAGAGGGCTTAGATGGAATGCCTCGTTTCCAGTAAAAAGGGCCTCCGGTTGTCTGCGCTCAACATACGAAACACAGTAGTGTTAAGCTGCTATTTTACGCTGGTATTCTGTGAGAGCGCGGTCCCACCCCGGTCGAGCCGACCCATTCGTGCTACAACCATAAGTATATCTGCAGCGTGGCTCTACCACTTAAATAATCATGGCAGTTGCTGAACATAAGCCTTCCTATTATATTGCCTCATAGGGTTATTTGCCATAGTTGCCAAGCTTGGCATACGGGACAGCAACCACAGTTTTATATTACATTGCGGTGTTACCAGAAAGACGCTGCTGCCCATGTACTGTTTCAGTTTTCCTGTGTAGCCTCCTACGACACCTATGGGACGACATGGGGTAGTGGATATTTTTACACCGCGACTACTCGGTTTATTATAATATTAATATTAACTATTTGAAAATGGTATTGCCCACGTAGTTGCTCCTTCCTAAAATTAAATATATGTAAGATGTCAAATAGGTGCAAAATTTCACAAGATATTTTATTATTACTTCTTTTGTTCGTTTAAATGTAATGTTGTCTGGATTTGTCGATAGACTGGTAGCAATTTTTTCACCGAAGCTCGTTTGTCCTCAAACTAATATCACGATATTGCTCAGAACGCGTCGGGTAATCATCGTAAAATTTAGAAATAATGAGCAGTTCGCGTTTACGATGCGATGCAGCTGTATTAGTAATGATATCGATATTCGATTGGCTTAAGTTTAGCTTTCACTGAATACTTTCTTGTAGCGTCATTTTATCTCAGGGCACAAAGTTTGACGGCTACGTGACGCAGTGGCTTAGCAATTAATTGCAGCGCTAAAGACTGCGCGTTCGAATCCCACACGGAACAAGTATTTGTATCGCCTACAAATAATTGTTCCAGGTCTGAATGTTTGTCCTTGTGAAGTTTATGAATGTAAACTGTCCCCACAATACAGGAGCAAATCCTAGTGTCAGTGTTACGTCTTTTTTTTTAATTTCTTTTAGAGCCATATTTTGGTATCTCCAAGCAACAAATAAAGAGACCGAATTTGACAAAAAATTACTTTGCGTACTTCCGCTATTAATTATCTTAAAGAAACCGAAGTAAAGCTCGAGAACCTTTTTTCCCATCGGTTGTCGGTTCTTCGAGATATATGGCCGACCCATTGCCACTTCAGCTTACTAATCCATTGGGCTATGTCAGTCACTCTGGTTCCACTGCGGATGTCCTCATTTCTAAGTTTATTCCGCAGAGAAACTCCGAGCATAGCCCTCTCCATAGCTTGCTGAACGACTTTGTGCTTCCTCATACGGCCAGCAGTGAAGGACCACGTCTTAGATCCATAAGTCATTATGGAATTGGTTGTACAGTCTCGTTTTCAAGTTTTGAGGTATACCTGACGAGAAGATGTATCGTAATTTGCCGAATTTCGTATTATATATATATTACAACAGCTGCCTTTCCCGCCGGACACGTTGTAAATTTGAATTTCAAACTGCGGCAACAATTTCAGTGGTTTTTCTGGAATCGAATCGACCTCGAATCCGTCAAGAAATAATTATCTTTATATATCGAAAGTATTTTAAATTTTCAACGTAAGACCTCACTAAATAAACCTAAAGGCAATATTGTGAGTTCTATTTAAGTGACAAGCGAAAACTTCTACTGAACCTTAAATTGCCTCTATAAATTGGTATTTTGAAGTATCATAAATTAAAATATTAGTTATTATATTTGTTATTAAATGAATATACGGTCTAGAAGACATCATTATTGTTATTTACAAAAATATTTACTACATACACTACACTTGAAAAATGGTATTTATTGGAAATAACCTCATCAATACTAATTTCGCAAAAAAGGCCCGATGTGAAGTAATCATTTGTTAACTCCGTCATCGTTCATCTTACCCTTTCCTCGTGTGCAAGTAATTTTACAAATTTGCGATTAAAAAAAGTTAGAAGGATCAATTTATTATTTATCGATACATAGTTTCCACAAAATATCAGCGTGAAATAGCAACTTAATGCTGCCCTTTTTACTGAAAACGAGGCATTCCATCTTAGTTCTCAGGCGTGACAACGCATCTGCAAAATTTCAACGTGGTAGAGACATGCTGCAGCTATATTATGGCTGTAGCAAGAATACGTCGGCTCGATCAAGGTACGACCACACTCTCAAAAAAATACTAGCGTGAAATAGCAGCTTAATACTGCCGTGTATCGTATGGTAAGTGTAGAGTACGAGGCATTTCATCTTAATCCTTAGTAGTGACAGCGCATCTGTATTTTGATTCTTAATTGGGGATAAATGTAGATGTTTATGGGCCACAGCATCTACTTGTCATCAGGTAGACTAAAAAAATAATATGATTGTTAATCGAGGATAAAAATCGAAGATGTCTATTGGGCACAGCATTCACTTACCATCAGGTGGAATGTGTGCTCGTTTGTCACCCTTATTTTGACACAGACAAATTAAAGTACAGTAATACACTAATTTATGACAAAAAAATGCTAATTAGTATCTTATAACTACTATTACCACTAAGAGGTAATCTATGGTACATTTCCAGCGCAATAAATAAGACTGTTACCAATTAATTGATCACTTACATGGAAAATAAGCCAAAGTCGAAATTACTGAGAAAATAAGCTGGCTTTTCCTTTGATTAGGTCGCATATTTAATAATAAAATATTAAAAATTTTGTACCAACGACTTCTATTTAAACTAACAAGAATAACTCAAAAACTATTGGTCAGACCTTGATCAAATTTATATGAGACCACAAGAGAAGCACCAGCTTGCAAATAAAAACTTGGTTCACTCAGAAAAAGTTATGAGGTAACACACAGAAAAAAACGTATAGTCGAATTGAGTACCTCCTCCTGTTTGAAGTCGGTAGAAAAGAGAAGCAATTTGCGCTATTTTCCTTTTGATCAGAATTTCAAAAGAAATTCTTTTTAATATTACAATCACCATAGAAAATTTATTCATAGTATATAAAAACAATTTAAAAATACAGTTGTATAATAAGATTTTTGTAATTGTTTGAATTGTATAATTAGTCAGATTATTTTTTTAGTAGAACCAGAGTAACTGTCATAGCGCTACCGATCAGTAAGATGAAATGGCAATGAGCCGGCCATATAGCTCGAAGAACCGACAACCAATAATAACTTTATTTAAATCTGGTAGCATATTGGACCCCGCTTATTTCAGACCTATTTCTGTACTACCAACTTTCAGTAAAATTTTTGAAAAAATAATAATAAATATATTGTAAATTTATTTTAATAAAAATAAATTACGCCTTAAAACCTATTTCGTTTCACAAGTGGCCGCTTGACGACTGCTGCAGGTTTTGAGCTTATCAATGCCTGGGAGAATTTATAAGATGCCTTAGGTATTGTTTGTGATCTTTCCAAGGCTTAAAATTGTGTTCATAATGAGATATTAATCAGGAAACTACGATATTACGGTTTTAAAAAAAATGTGCTTAGACTTATTATTTCTTATTTAAATCTTCTTCTTGGTCGTGTTCTTCAAAACTGAAGGTCGTGTCTGTAGTTTAGTGCCTTCGTAGCGCTGTTCACTATAGCCCTCCATTCTGTCCGGTCCTCGGCTTTTCGTATTGTAGTCGTGAGTGAGAGGCCAGTGAGTGATTTGACCTGGTCTCACCAGCGGCTAGATGATCGGCCGCGTGGTCTTTTGCCCCCCACCTTGCCTACGACTATAAGTCTATCCAAGTTCTTAGGCGGGCGTCGGGCAATGTGACCAAAGTAATTCAGAATACTCTGGTAACACGTAGAAGTCTGGTAGAGAGTCTGGTGTCAACACGAAGCTGCCCCAGAATCGACTCGTTTGTCCTCTTAGCGGTCCATGGTATCCGAATCATCCTTCTCCAACACCACATTTCGAACCCATCAATCCTTTTCTTGTTTGCTGCTCGAATCGTCTATGCTTCAAAGCCATAATGGTCCGAGAGCTCATGACGCATTTTTCATGAAGTGTTTGATGCATCATGAAACTTTGTTTAAAGGTATCAGTCGACTCAATAAGCAGGTATATGACTGTCTGCCTGGCCTACCTGGGTACACCTGGTACTGCGCATACAGTTAAGTCACAAAAAAATTTGCCCAAAAAAAAGTGTTTGATTCAAATAATAATAATGACTATCCGTTAGCTAAGTTTATAAACAATTAAGAAAAACAATGGCAGACACTTCTGAAGGGGTTTACATAGGGGCAGACGACCACAAAGTTGTATTTTCAAAAATTCCAAAAAAAGTGTTTGATTCAGTCTGCCATTTTTACAGCGTGTTTATTATATATAATAAAATATTCTCACAAAAAGGCAGACAGTTTCTCCGGGGGTTACTAATTTAAAAATCTATACAAATAAATAAAATTTAAATGTCTGTTTTTAATTTCAAAATAACAATTTTTTACTAAACGCATAAGACATTATATACGATATTTATAACAAAAATACAATTTTTAAAATTTTTGTCTGTCTGTTTGTTCCGACTAATCTCCGAAATGGCTGGACCGATTTTGACGGGACTTTCACTGGCAGATAATTGATGTTATAACGAGTATTTTAGGCTGCTTTTAAATTTAAAAAAAATTATTAGGGTACCGCGCAAAAAAAATAAAACCCTAAATTACATGCGGGCGAAGTCGCAGGGAACAGCTTTTTATTTTATCAGCAGCTATTTAAATAATCTTAAAAAAGTATAATTATTTTCATGTTTGTCAATTGGAATCGGATTCTGCTGTCAATGTACTTATCAAATCATGTGATACAGATGTATTAATTATTATGATAGGAAATATGGACCATTTAAAAAGTGATTATTTATTTGTATAGATTTTTAAATTAGTAACCCCCGGAGAAACTGTCTGCCTTTTTGTGAGAATATTTTATTATACATAATAAACACGCTGTAAAAATGGCAGACTGAATCAAACACTTTTTTTGGAATTTTTGAAAATACAACTTTGTGGTCGTCTGCCCCTATGTAAACCCCTTCAGAAGTGTCTGCCTTTTTTTTTCTTAATTGTTTATAAACTTAGCTAACGGATAGTCATTATTAATATTTCAATCAAACACTTTTTTTTGGGCAAATTTTTTTTCGACTTAACTGTATGCGCAGTACCAGGTGTACCCAGGTAGGCCAGGCAGACAGTCATATACCTGCTTATTGAGTCGACTGATACCTTTAAACAAAGTTTCATGATGCATCAAACACTTCATGAAAAATGCGTCATGAGCTCTCGGACCATAAAGGAAGATGGAGAACACTAAAGTTCTGACAAGTCTTTTTTGGTGACATTAGAGGTTTTCCTGTTCTGCCAAATTCTTTTTAATCTACTCATTGCACCTTTAGCTATTTTGATTCGTCTTCTTATGTCATATTCACTTCTCCTCTCTCCGAAAGTAGCGATCCGAGGACACAAACTCACTCACAAACTCTAGGTCCGAGAGTTCTCCAGTCCTAGAGAGTTGACCGGTTCTGTCAATCAACGTTACTTTTGTTTTGGATTTGTTAATACTAAGTCCAGCCAGTCCACTCTTTACCTCTAATCTGCGAAAGAGTTGACCGAGTTCATTTTCCGATGATGCAAAAAGTGTCCTGTCATCCGCATATCTGAGGTTGCTGATCTTAACACCCCCGATTGAAATTCCTTCCTCCCATCCTTCTAGGGCCCTTCTCATTATATATTCCCCGTAGATGTTAAACAAGATAGGAGACAGGATACATCCCTGTCTTACTCCCTTTTTGTGCTTGAATCATCCAGAGATGATGTTATTGACTCTTACCATGGATTCGCCTTCTTGGTACAGATTTGCAATCAATACTATGAGATGTTGAGGTACGCCCATTTCCCGGAATATGTCCCATAAACAGTTCATCTTACGCAGTCAAATGCTTTAGAGTAGTCAATGAAGCACATGAACACAGATGTATTGAACTCCCGGTTTTTCTCAATTATTTGCCTCACATTCACGATCTGTTCTCTTGTGCCCCGTCCTTTAACAAATCCCGCCTGTTCACTGGGTATTTGCCACTGTAGATAGGATTGCAATGTACTATTGAGTATATACAGTATTATCTTGCTAGCATGAGATATCAGAACCACCGTGCGGTCATTCCCACATATTCTCGTTGATCCTTTTTTGTGTAATGGAATCACGTTCCAGGTTTCAATCTCAAGCTGTACACGCTGACCAGTTGATGCGTCACCAGTAGCATTTTGTCCGCACTTTGCCTGGTGAGTCACATCAGTATCCAGTAGCATATTTCACACCATGCGACCTGGAATCGACATGGCGCCGGGTTGCCGGGTCGCATTAATTCGCTCTCTTCATATTGTTCAATATAATACGGATTTCATGGGAAATTAGTGCAGTGGCTTCCCTTTGCCTTCTGCACCAGACATTTTAGGAGTAGTTTGGACCCCAAGGTCGCTGTAGTCTCTTCCATCCGGTTGTACGGATAGGTGTATGATGGATATACCGCCATTAGTCGGTCGCCATAGCCTCGTCCGTTGTCTAGCAGGGGGTACCGCGAGCAGGTGAGGTCAACAATTGGGGCCGACTAGATGGTGTTGTCGTTCTCCCCCTTAACCCCCCATATTTAAATAACAGAACTCAAAAAGTCGTTATTTCTTACGTTATCGGGGGAATCAATGGGCGTTCCTCAGGGCTCCATTCTTGGCTTATTCCTGTTCTTAATCTATATTAATGACTTACCTTATCTTGCAGGGGCAAATTAATAAAAATAAAATTAAATAAACACAATAAAAATACAGGGTAACAGAACAAGATTTGGTAAATGTTTTTAATTTAACAAAATTGTATTTTTGTCAACCCCTAATTAGAAAAAAAATCCCCAAAGAGTACCTACCTTTGTCATATTTTGCAAAATTTCTCCAAAACGTCACAAGCTTTTTAAATAGTTCTTACGCAAAAAAAAGGTCTTAAAAATATTAATATTTTTAATTGAGACTTTTATTTTTATTACCCGTTTTATAAGATAATATATAATTTTTCCCTGATATTGAATATATTTACGCGAGCGCGCATGCTCCGTCGCCATGTAAGCTCTGTCACAGTCCGTTTTCGGACATCATCGAGGGTGGACCGCACTTCGGTGTTGGAGCGACTTCGTTCAAATACGAGTATATATTAGTTTTTTAAAAGTTTATACTCAATTATAAATATTTTTATGACTAGAAATACTTAATTTAGTTAATATCTGTACACTGGTTACTGTAAATATTATTTTCTAAATAAATGAATTTTTAAAGTGCCCAAAGAAGAAGAAATTTTCGCGGCGACATTGATTAGTAAAATTGAAAAATGCATTTTTATATAATTTAGATGTGGAACGACGAACATGCTCTCGTTACTTAGATTTCGATAGTTTTTAATACCTATGTAATTATATTTTTGCATATTTTTATTAATTAGTTGATACTGAATTTTATAATTATGTATTACAATAAAACGCTGTTTTTATGAGTATGAATTTATAAAATATTATTGGGGAGGGAAATAAAGATACAGATACTTACATTTAGGTACACTGTTATCAAATTAAATCAAACAATTTAAATAAATAAAAGAATGGTGCTTACCTAAGTATAAATAACTATATAAAGACATTCTTGGGTTTATGGTTTTTTTATGTTGGACAAACTATCATACAAAAAATGTAAAATTTTTAACTTGAAGAGGGGTTTCTCTACGTGATAAAGTTAGAAATGAACATATTTGCATTAGAACCAGAGTAACTGACATAGCCCAACGGAATATTACAGTGAAATGGCAATGGGCTAGCTATATAACTTGGAAAACAGATAAAAAATAGGAAGAAAGGTCCTCGAGTGGCAACCTCGTACAGGTAAGCGAATTAGTACTCAACCTTTATTCCTCTTCACGTATTCTCATACGCTTTTCTTCACACATGCACACACACACACACACACACACACACACACACACATACGCGCACACACACACACACACACACACACACACACACACACACACACACACACACAAATAGGTCGCAAATAATACTTACCTAATACTATTACGCAAGAGTGAATAGGTTTTTGTTAAGTCAGTGCAATTCACCATCTTAGACTACATAACCACTTACCGATGGGATTGTAGTTGCTTTAGTACTTGCTGGATAAAAATAGTAAAAAAAAATTTACCCTGTGAAAGTTTGCATTTAAATATAATTTTTCTAACCAACCATAAAAATATGATGAGAATATGTATATAAGTATAAAGGTTACCTCACACGGGACATTAATAATATAATATTATATCTTCCATTATCTAAGCATGAAAACTTTTAAAATCTCTGAATCCCGAGGTATGTTCATATTAAGAGGCTGAATAGAGCCACATTGAAATGCATGGGGATCGTTTTGTAATTTCACGTCATTATCGAAAAAAAATTGTACGTATTTCAGGTGGCGGTTTGCAAAACACGATTCCACAAAAATTAACTCAATAGAAAATAATTGCAAAGTTGCTTCTAAAAGTACTTAAATTTTCAACGTCAATTTTTTCTTACGTGGTAGAGCCATGCTGCAGCTATATTAGTAGTAGGTATAGTTGTAGCACGAATGGGTCGGCTCGACCGGGGAAGGGCCACGCTCTCACGGAATAACATGTAAACTAGCAGTTTAACCCTGCTGTGTTTCGTATGGTGAGTGTAGAGAACCGGAGAACCTTTTCACTGGAAATGAGGCATTACATCTTAGCCCTCACGGGTGACAACGCACCTACATTTTGATACGTAATCGAGAATAGATGTAGATGTGTATGGGCCGTAGCAACCACTTACCATCAGGTGGACTGCGTGCTCGTTTGTCACCCTTATCCTATTAAAAAAAAAACTCTCTGAGATTTCAGTTAAATAATGTTAAGTATTGTAAGCACTCGTACAATTGTGTGTCTCATGTTAATAAAGCTATTGGGATATTTTGATTTGTAATAAAGTGATTTTACTTTGTAGGTTAAATCATTTATTTACCTTTCCATATTAAGAACCGTTTTTCTGTCACTCCTATTGAATTTGACAGTTCTTGCTGAAATTTAGATGGATCAGAATCGCGCGCTGATCCGGATGTTAGATATTGCACAAATAATCGAAAATATTTATTTTTAATTTCATGCAGAAGACTACCTTGTTTTATTTTATTACGGTCAAATAATATTTATTAGGTTATAAAGCAAGTACTTTTGTAAATGTTTTGTATGTAAATGTAAATGTTTTCATTATTTTGTTATTCTGTTGTTTACAGTTATTATCACGTCTTAGCTTTACACCAAGAATCACATTAGAAATTCTTGATGGGATGCGATGTAACGCGCATACATTATTTTCATCAAGAACTATAATATATATATTTGTTTTTTTTTTTACCACTAGAGTTTCAACAAAATCTTTAAAAAAGTTCAATGAATTAAAAAAATGCCAATAATTATATAATTTCAAGTCAGTGTCTGACATTTAAAGATCAGTTATAAAGAGCCAAAGTTATTATTTTCATTTTGATTAATTTAATTCGAGACTAAAATAAATGTGAAAGGGCTTTTATCTGCAATAATAATATTCATCAAAAATAACATAGAATTATAAAAGTCATATACACGGTCAATTATACTGAAGATTATCAATTGTACTACAAAACATTTAAAAGACAATTTCCAGTATAATGACCCGAATATCATCATTAATGTTTGACTGGCATACTTAAAAGTTTTATCCCATGGCTAAATGATTGACTTTTACATTATGATAAGGACATGCTTTTCTATAAAAAGTTGCAAGAAATTTAAAATCACGGCCCTATTGGTTTGTTTTACTTTTCACTTAATTAGTGAAAAACAAGATGGACTGATCTAAAAGTTTACTTTCTTGTGTAAAAAGTGCTATTTAGAATTTTATGCAAATGATAATTAAAGTTTCTATGTAAATAAGTGTAACATAGCGGGAATTATATTCAATGGTAGCGGCCATCCATATTTGCAAAGACAGCATCATTTTCTGTACAGAAACCGGCAAAGTGTTGCTCAAGGCACTATAAACAAAGCAGCTGATAAAATGTTACACTCATAACTGTTAACAAAAACTGTTTCCGCAAATGGTCTTATAGATATTAATAACTATTCCGCCATGTTAAGTGCAGGAGCTATTGTTAGAAGGAGAAGAGGTAAAATTTTGTTTTAGAAATGCGCAATCAATATCGTTTTGTCTGCAATTGAGCATAAAATAAAAAATAACTTCAGCCACAGAGTATAACTGGCATTATACTCAGGCCCATCAATTGGTATGGAAAAAATAATTTTACCAGGTTTCAAAAAATCAATCAAACTTCAAAAAAACATAAATATTAAAATCAAAAAATGTATATATGTATGTCTATACATACACATAATGATTTATGGCCGCTTAGTAACTGACAGTGACTCACTATAACATCCTACAGTCACGCTGAAACTAATAGGAGAGAATCACTGTACAAAAGGTAATAATTAAACGGAAATTTGTGATAAAATTAAAAAAATTATAAACTTATCCAAGTTAATCTAACTTAGTCTTACTAATCCTTATGCGTTACAAAAAAAAAACAAATAATAAAATAGTGAGATGGCGTCAGTTTTTAAGAAGATATAACAAAAATAAACAAAAAAATAAATTTCAAAAAAGTTCAGTATTTAATTGATTATATATCGCTGACACTTAATCACGCTTTTCCAAACCATGCCAGTTGTAAACAATACTTGTGTAAAAAGACAATATCTTCTTTTCAAATTTCCGCCGAGTTGTAAGTAGAAGGCCAAATATGTCACGTGTCAATTTTAATTAAATATATTTTATATGAAGTGACCTTGACTACGTTTCATCAATTAACCATTAGTAAAAATTAAAACAGGAATTTTACGATTGTGTTTACAAAAACATTATTAGTTGAACCTTGCAGCTTGTTCATTATTTTTATTATAAATACCTATAAATGTATATATTATTAATAAATAGTTCCCATAATACTTTGGATTATTTTTTATTTTTCCCAATATGCAATGTTCTAGACTCTATAGAAAATGTGGCGTATGATATGACTGACAATTTTTCGAACGTTTTATCTAGGTACAAAGATGTTTTACGTTTTCGTCGCCTCCACATGATATTTTTGTCAGCATAAGGTACCCTTCTATATCTGAAACGAATATAAATATTGCTACAAAGTAATGTAATAGGCTATACAAGTCC